TGACAGCAGTGGGGTTTTATACAGCTCTTCTAGGAGAGCTCATCTATTTCCATTACTTCCACTGTCTTCTGTAGATGACTCCTTAATCAACATGTCTGATGTTAGTACTACAGACATCTCTCTTTCAAGCTCAAGTCAGCCATTTCTACATTTACCTGGACCTTTTGACCCTGTTTTTTTGCAAATGTCCCTGATGGTGCAATGGTAAGCACCAGGCTGCTAACCAAAAGGTTGGCAGTTCAAACCCACCAGCAGCTCTGAGGGAGAAAAAAACCTGGCACTTTACTCCCATAAGGATTACAGCCTAGGAAGCCTATGGGGAAGTAATAGTCTGCCCTATAGGGTTGCTATGAGTCCAAATTGACTCGATGGCACACCATAGCAATATTAAAGTAAGGGGGCATTGGTGGTTCAGTGGTAGAATTCTTGCCTTTGATGCAGGAAACCCAGATTCAATTGCCAGCTAATGTACAACCACCACCTATCTGTCAGTGGAGGCTTATTTGTTGCTATGATGTTGAACAGTTTTCAGTGGAGCTTCCAGATTAAGACAGACTAGGAAGAAAGGCCTGGTGATCTACTTCTGAAAAATCAGCCATTGAAAACCCTATGGAATACAGTTCTACTCTGACACACATGGGGTCGCCATAAGTTGGAATCGACTTGATGGCAACAGCGGTGGTAAGGTATCATTATTGATTCATTTCCTCAGGGTATTTATTGAAATGAAAACGCACCCACTTTTAGAAACCCTGATTGACTGAGTGAATGTGGCAGCAGGAGTTGTATAGATTCCCCTGCTAATTTTCTGGGGACTCAGCTCTCATTTGCCCTTTGAAAGTTCGCAGAGTATAAACTGACCTCCAGGAAGTGATATGGTTGGAAGTTTTAGGTAGAATGGTTGGAGGCAAAAATGAGAGCTTTTACAGCAATCTTTTGAATTCACTAAATTAAAAAACTGTTTTTAAAGGAAGTTACCGCCTCACTCCTGTCAATAAAGCATGAACTTTAAACTGTTTCTTAGTATAGCCTTGGTAATGAGCTTCTGCTCACCATCTGTACTTTTAAATCAGGGATAAAACCTGGGGCTCCTTGATGGTGTTGGCGACCTCTAAAACTCTGCATTAGTATGCTAAATTTCTGAATGAGCTTTCTGTAACTAGTAAGACTCCCACAAACAGTTAAGGACTAACTGCTGCCATACACTCTTCTTTGTTACTGCTGACATGAATTTATGGACAGGGTTCCTAGGATTAAGGTAAAATCTGAGACTAGATGATACGAGAACTAACCATGCTACACTAGGATTTTTATCTTTTAACATATTCTAGTAGCCTTGGGTACCTCCTATGTAACTATAGCACAGCAGTAATTCAGAAAATCAAAAGTGTCCCTACTTTAGACTGCCCAAATGTAATAGTAGTTACTTTCTAATAATTATTCTCAAAAACTTTAATTTAAAAAAAAAAAATATCTAATTATATAAGCTGGTATCTTAAAGAACCTGATGTAAGCCAATAGAGGCAAAAGCACTTGACTTTTAAAATCATAACAAGTAGCACAAATTTAATGTTTAAGTGCCTCTGTTTAAAAAAAAACCAAAAACTTATTTTGAGGTTTATAAAGGCAGAATAACTAGGTTTATAAGATTCTAGGATTATTCTTATACAACCTATTGCCACTGAATTGATTCCCACTCATAGCAACCCTCTAGGAAAGAGTAAAACTGCGCCACAGGGTTTCCAAGTCTGTAAATCTTTACAGAAGCAGACAGCCACATCTTTCTCCTGCGGAGCCTCCGGTGGGTTCAAACTGCTGACTCTTCAGTTACTATCCAAGTGCTTAACCACTGTACTACCAAGGCTTCTCTTCTTGCACAACAGCAGTTCTCAAAGTGTGGTCTAAAAGTTCCAAAAGGTCATGG